ATATAGAAGTGGTTTGAACTTGTTTTGTTGTATTGTCAGGGAAGCCTAGATGAACGTGATAATTAACAGGGCCGGACCAAGGCGCTATTATGTAGCGTATTAAGAGGAATTGGAGTAAATTTCTAACGTGTGTTGTTGATGTAGACGATAATTTCAAGATACTTTTGGGGCTGAAAAATGGCAAATAACTTTCCTTTTCGTATATTCTGACTACCAAGGAAGAACTGAATCTAGCTCAAATGATCTTGTGAGTATAACACTATAATTGTCATTATTACTATACTTTATAAATGAGTATAATGATACTATATCCATGTGAATGCATTAGATGAAGTAAATCTGATGAATTTACTTTGCTATAGGAAAGTCCTGCTAGTCCCTAAAGTTAGAATTCTGAGGCGTTTCAAAGAGGATTCCTGTTGAAGCATTAGGGCCTCACGACATGAAAAATACAATAACTTCAATGCACTTTTATTAATGCTATCTTATTTTACTATAATTTGAAACTTGGAGGAGATGTCAAGAGATCCGATAAAAGAATACATCAGTGCGAGGAAAAGATATGAGCCACGAAAAAAATAATATATTGGCGTAATGATAGTGACTCCATTTATTTGTCCTTCATTTTCGTTATCTCATCTGAAAGGCACAGCCTAAGCAGAGCCGACGGATTATGTGACCAGGGTAAGCCTCCAGTCACATTTTATATCTCGAACGTAATTCAAGCAAAGCGGAAACAATTATTAATTCGTTTGTAAAGGTGGGTTGAAGGGGTTAGTAGATTAGCAAATATAAGTTTGCTTTATCGACAAACCCAACACAAAAGGTAAGATGGAAGATGACTGACATTAATTGAAAATCACATCTGTCCTGTGACCCAAAGGCATTCGTGGCAATACGGCGTAGTGGTTAGCGTGCTGAGCTTACACACTGCACTGCCATGATTCGACTCCCTCTTGGGATGTTGATAAGAACTATGCAAGGTAGAAACTGCAGTTCCCTCCAGCCGGGATGAGAATACCTTTTGGGAAAGCAAGACCAAGTAAAATTCAATGGAAAACATCAGCTCTACTCACATCATTGTGGGAAAAATCTACTACAAGCCCTTCATCACATTAAACGAGATAGGTTAAACACAAATCATATATCCGATTTAGTGGTAGTCTCGAAAACCTACTCATTTACGATAAAAACTTGGCATGTTTTCAACAGAGTCGAGGAAAAACGTCTCGACGGGAAAATCCCTTCTTAGCACATTATCAAACTGAAAGTGAGTTCAAAAAGTGTCAATCAGGAAATTGCTCGTTAGCACTTTCTATACGTATGCAAAAATCTCATCAAATTAATCACGCATAGGTCCATAATTAAGTGATTAGAGTGATGGTTAAAAAAGCAAATTAAACTTTGATTTTAAATTTTATTCTAATTACATAGGGCTATCACCGCGTACATGTAAACGCACATACATACAGAAAAGCAAACCTAAAAACAGAATTAGAGATTGGTATATAACCAAATCACTATCAATCTCACAAAAAGAGATGAAGTTAGAGTAGATGTACAACAGATGGGAATAGGTTGTCGAGTATTCTTGACATGTTAACATGCATTAATAGTAAGAATGGTACCCTGAATAGTGGCACGACAGGTCAAAGCTCGGCATATTTCAACTGGAGACCAAATGGGATTGTATCAAGGGCAGCGTCAACCAAAAGGTACCAATAAGGCTAAAAGAACGATGACCAAAAAGTTGTTGTGAGCTTTTGATGAGATCAACCTACGAATCATTTAAGCACAAGCTTTTACTCGAAATGGAAGCAAGATAAACAAATTATTATCCACCGGTTGAACAGAAAATTGGTCAAGGGGATTGTCTGAATTCGTCGTTTTGATAAGTTGTAACTCAATGCTAAGAATTGCGCCAATCACTGATGATGTCGACAAGACGTCTGGGAGTGTACCAAGGTCTAATGCTGGAAATGATTAGGATTATTATGGCAGAGAACGATGGACTATGTACGTCCCACAAGGTCTCCCTGTAGCCCCGACTAAGTCGCAAAAGTGAGGTCAAACTAACAGGTTAGGCTAAGATAAGGAAGTAAAGATAACAAAGAGGTTATAGTCGAAAAAACCGCAGGATGAGCAAAAGGATATTGTTTCATAAACAATGAACTATAATCCACTTTTATGCTAGAGAATGAAGAGGTGCTACATACAAAAAGGCCATACCAGAGGCCATACCTTCTTGGCCTTCATATCTTTAAAAAGGCTTATAAATAATTTATGGTCTCATATGTGCACATGAAGGCACAAGGGCACACAAGCACATACCTCCAGATTGACATAACTTGAACTAACCAATTCACTTTATACCTCATTGAAATTCATTAATTTAATAATTATAAGTAGGCAGATGAGTAGTCTCAGGTCTTTAGAATATCAACCTGCTCTGAAGATGGTCATCATCATCTAAATAGAAGAAGATTGCCTCAGGGACAGCGTCAACAAGAATTTGCCACCAAATTCAACCGACAGCCGATCAAGTGGAATCTAGCGTCGTCTTATGGTGGAGTCGACCTTCGAATCTATTCATCAGACACACTTCTTTTCGAAATAGAAGTGAGCTCAATAATCATACATAAAGCTGAATTAGGGCTAGTGAAAATGCACACGAGGCGTGAGACGAGCGAAAAACATCGAATACAGTTAAAATGAATGGAGCTGAATTGACTGCCATTATGCCTGCTAAGCAAAATGATAGAAGGACTCACATGAATCAAGTGATATGCATGAAGCCGGATCCACTGTTTGCTTGAGCCGATGTTGCCGGAGCCGGCTAACATGTCCAGACGTCGGGTTATCCTCGTTGCTAGGACTGTTGGTGATGCTAGCATCGAGGGTAGATGTGCGATGCTTGCTTGCCAACAGTCTGGAGCCATTCGACCGTCTTTGCTGCAGTCTATCTTCGGCTCGGTCGTCACTAAAAGAGCCAGAACGGTTCAACTCCAAAAGTCGATTGGCTTCGAGAGGTTCGGTTAAATCGACCAAAACACTCGCTTCCTGCTGCGGGTCAAC